GCAAACAATACTCCCGTCACAATCTTTTTATTATTAAATTTTTATATTAATATATCAAAACAATTTAAAAATATATAAAAAATTAATTTTTATCAACAAGTTTAATTTTTTATCGATCTTTGTTTTAGAACACAATCCAGGCCGAGCTGCATTTAATGACGGATGCAGGGTGGTGGGAACTTTGAATTTAGTCCTAAATGAGACAGATACTGAGCGACTATAGAATGTCTGAAAAACTGGACGTCTTCCATCCTTCTTCTAACTATTGAAACTGAGTCTTGCTTGCATTTCTATATTTGGACTTGTATGAACAAAAACTCAAGAAGACAATAAGAATGGCAAGTTCTGCTCTTGTGCTCTTAGCTTTTCCATGAATGTTTATCAAGATGGAGAAGAAGCTTAAAAAACAGGGGTGTTGAAAGAAGCGACCTCTCGCACCCAAAATAATAATCATACCACTAGACCAAACACCTAACATGATCTCTTGATTTTCTAATAAAAGATCTAGTTCATATTGATTTCAAAAATAGTGTTAAGAAGATCTAATGTTTAGATTTCTTTTCAAATTTTCTTAGGTTTCAAGTTTAAATTTTTATTATGTTAATGTTTAGATGAGAAGTAATAAAATATTGTTTCTCAAAAATCTATGACAAACCACAGTTACCAATGGATTTCATGAAAAAAAAACTGATGTTTTAATCTTATTAAATATTAAAAATGATAGCTATAGGTGAACCTCACTTGCATCCATAATAACAAATACTCACAATATCATTTAAAAATAAAACAAAACTGCTTCTCACTAATAGAATCCACTAAAAATTAAGATGAGATTGTAGTTTTTTAAAAAGCAGCAAAATGTTGTTTTTCTTGGGGCAAGAAGTTGTATAGTGGAGCATGGCTCCAAACCAGTGCTAATGAATTAATTCACTTATATTATTCATTAAATTTAAATTAGTTTTTTTTTAAAAATCAATGCGAGTGAATTAATTTACTTGTACTGTTTATGTTAAAAGTTTATTTTTTAAAAAAAAAACCAGTGCGGTTAATTGATTTTACTCGTATTGTTTATGTGAATGTGACAGTAATGTTTTTTTTAAAAAAACTAGTTTAAGGAGAATTAAACTAGCTTGTACTGTAATCTCAATTTTATTCTTAATAATATTGTATCTAATTTTATTATCCGTTCAAAAAATCATGAAAATTATAGTTCTTGTTGAATAAATTTTATATGTAATGAAATTATATATTTTTTTTAAACAGTTGAGTTTTACTCAAAAAACTAGTATTAATATTATTCAATAACACTACATAAATTAAAAAAATATCACATAATGGTGTAATATTTGTGAAATTTGATCACAGTTCTAATTATATTCTTATCGGGTTCGACTCAGTTAAAAAAATCAGTTTTTATGTTTATTTTAATTGTATTTATTTGAAAAACTAGAAGAAAATTGCTTAATAACAAGTAAATTAATTCAGTTTTTGTTGTTGTGTACTTAAGAAACCATATAAAATATAGTCATTGTTATATCAATTTTGTATGTGATGATATTGTATATATTTTAATGGAATAATAAAAAATATTTGATATCAATATTATTTATTTCATGATATAATAATAGTAGTTAAATCTATAATATTTAAATTTATTATTAATATTAGTATATATATTTTTAATTATTTTATAACCTTAATATAAAAAATATTTTTTAACCAAATATATTAAATTATTTTTTATTCAATCTTAATTCCAACAATAATTTTAATTAAATATATATTTTTTCAAATCAATCTTAATTAAAAATATTTTTTATAAAATATTTTTTTTAAAATCACAACCACAATAACAATCTTAATACCAATAACAATCTCAATACCAATCATTCCCTAAATCACGGTGCAAACCTCAGTCCAGAGAAACTACTCAATAGAATGTTAAAGCAAGGAGCTAAGAAATTGAAAGCTTAAGATTAAAATATGACACAGGCTGAAGAAACAAACAAAGTATAATCATAACAACGAGCAACTGATCAAAATCCTTTATTTATTTATTTATCATATAAAGCTGTTTGTATAACTCACTTTCACAAGTTGTGCTCCTCATTATCCAGTCATTCTATCCAATCTAACTCCTCTTGAAAATATAAATTTCCCTAGCTTTAAAATCTTGGATTTTACCTAATTAAAGAAATAAATTAATGAATGTCTCACCTCTTCAACCAGTGCAGACAGAGATTTCCACCGGAGGCTCACAAGATGATGACCCACTCCTAAAACCATCGCACGTTTGTATGGTCCCACCAACTTAATCTGTCACCGATTATGAGCAACCCATCTGTCCATCTTCTCTAAATCTTTCAACAACTCCTTCCATTGAAGCTGGTGTTCTCGGGATTTATTCTTGACACACAATAAGAAACTATACCCAACTTATCTTTAATGCGTCTTTGGAGGGATAGGAGTGTCCGCTCCGTTGTATAACTGTTCTCTTTGACCATCTCACATCTTCTCTTCGAGATTTTAAAGACAGGAATCGATGAAATTGAATAAAGTGCAAGAAAAACGAGCAGGAGGAGAGACATGGCAGCATGGGGACGTAGATAAATGGAGGACTTGTGGGTGCCCAGGAAGGCGAATTCGTCTCTTATGAATGTATCTGTATTTGAGCTTCCTCGATAATCCCCTTCAGATCAATTTCAGACAATTATAACTCTGTCTTTAATTCATTCACCTCCGTTTCGGTTTCCTTCCTTTTTCTGGATTTCATGTAATTTTTGGATACAAATTGATTTACTCCAATATTTCAAAACAATGGTTTGTATTAAACATTTAATTCACATTAAAAACTTTACCTCAAGAAAAACGTTTCTCTAACAAGCAAATAGTTGCATTTGTTCATGTTTGTTCTGGTTTTTTCCGAATTGGGTTTTATACAAGTATGGTCTAATGCTGTTGCTGTGTGCAGCGAAAGGGCCACCGGTGCGAAGGAAGCCGTTGAAGCATAGGGACTATGAAGCCGATCTCAAAGTTCTGGCCGGGGAAAACTCAGTTTAGCTACTTGTTTTATATAACTTTAGATATCAACAAACTTGTTTTACCACATATTACCTTTCCACTTGGATTTTGTTCGTTGTGTGGCCATTTCCAAAGCTTCTGAATAACATTTACTCCTGGAAACAGCATGCCAGCACCAGAATTTGTGTATAGAAGACCAACCACCTGGATAGAAAAATGAGAAGGGTGACATATTATCAGACAAGAAAATCAGGCGGAACAACATGAACATTAGAAGAAACTTAAAGCACCTTGCTGGAGGTGTCTCTGCTCTCAAGCAAGGTAACCAATCCACAACCCCCGGGATCTACAATTTCAGCCAACTGCCATGGTTTTGTTTTATCAATCACATCATCCGCAGTTCTCCGTATGGATGTAGTTTTGAATAAAAAGAAAGATGTTTATCTCATCTTAAAAAGAAATTCCTTTCAAGTGTAAATTTTCACTGTGTAGTAAATTACATGAAAATGGATGAGCTTCAGCAATAAAATTTCTAATATTATTATATAAATATTTCTAATATTTATAATATCAAAAGTTGATATTTAATATATTAATGAGATTAATTCATTTTGAATTAATTCTTTAATTTTTATAATCAATTTTGATATCCATAATTATTGGGATGAGCAGCTATTAAATTTAATTTAAAATATAATTATTTTGTTAATGGTCATAATATTAACATAATGTTTGGTTATAATGTTTTCAAGTCTAATAAATATGTTACTTCACATAAAACACAAAAAGACAAACACATTTTTCTTTTCTTTACCTTTTTTTTAATCTTTTTAAATATTTAAAGGGTTTAGTTATATTTAAGATATATATTTTTTTAGATAAATAAATACTTTGAAAATAGTATTTTCACGACTCTAATCTAACTTTTTATTTATTTTCATTTTACACAGTTTCTCTCGGCATTTCCATGCTTCTAGTCATCGGATCAACTCTATTCTTAAAGAAGTAATTCAAAGACAAAAACATTAGTATCAATCATTTGCACTGCACAATTTGTTAGAAATGAACAGAAAGCAATATCCATGGGGGGGGGGGGGGGGGGGGGGGGG